GTCTTTACTTATTTGACCTTGTCAGTTATCTCAGTGCTCTCTGTTGAAAGATAAATTCCATCTGAAAAATACAGACAACATCAAAAACAAGTAAAAAGCTGCCTTTGATTTTTATAAAAGTTTAGCAACAGGCTTGTTATACAAACAGGCTTCTGGACAGTTTCCCCACATGCTTGCAGTTGAGTTTTTTTCAAGTAGTCATAGATCATTTCCAGCTGTATAGGGAATACCTGTATATTCCTTGCTTGCATAAGTCATCCCAGCCTAATCTCTATAATGACATACAGAAGCCCTCGTTGCAGAGAATCTTGATTGCCTTTCACTCCATCAGCATGGTGGTGCATCCGAGAGCCCTTATAGATCAAAGCAAAGCCTGACAAAGTAAGGCTGGCAGCATTTTGTAAACATCACCCAAAGAAGTGGCTCATTTTTATTAGTCTCTTGAAGGGCTATTTTTAAAAGTCATGAAATGGTTTTCTCCTGGTGCTAAAGTACTGCTGCCCCCCAGGAAAGTATGCAAATGCTTGTCAAGCAGCGTTCCTAGCTGAGTGTGTCACAATCTGCATATCCCAACAATATGATGTACGTTGATTCTGGGACCTGCTAATATCAATTTGAGTTGAAACAGTTGCTATGATTTAATTCGTTTAAGCAGAACAGACCTCTACTGTAGATTTTTTCAGGGGCCGGGGTGTGTGTGTTAGAGTCCAGTGGGTAGGTGGGGAAGAAGGGAGAGGGAATTAACTCTATTTCATCATTCCAATCTGAACCATCCCATCATAGCCTTATGAGCTTGGCTCGTGCTTGGTAATTCAACCAGGTGCATAAAAATCCTAAAATAAGACTCTGGGGCATTCTGATATGGTCCAAGGATGTTTCAGCACTCCTTTCTTTTAGATACAGATTCCAAGTATCTACGTCAGTCCCCAGGGATTTCTCTGTACATGACGCTCCAATGAAAAGAGACTTTGCCTGAAAGCCCGCGTCTTATTTCACTCACCATTACTCTTGTAGTGAGTCCATAGGTGTCTGTCTTCAGCTACTTTTAAAGTACTGATTTGTTTAGTTCCCTCATGATTGCACTTTGTGTGACTTCTGACTACATATTCCTTTAAGGATCCCCCCCTTTCATTAGGTGCACTGTGATTTATACAAGAAGATTTATTTCTTCCCAAGGAGGGAGCAGAACAGCTGAAAAAGAGCATTACAATGTCCTTGAGGAAAATGCTGGCTCTTAGTAAGATTTTTAAAAAGAAAATAGTGTGTTCTAAAATTACTTTGCATCACAGTGCTGTAGCCTTCCACAGTGTAAATCATCTTCATTTGAAATTCATGGAGGCTTCATCTGTTATGGATCACAGAGGCTTGAATGAAATTCATGCTACTTAGAAAGAAAGTTCTGTCTTTTCATCACCATCCCTTATTCCCCTGTATGGAACTGAATAGAATGTTTTCCAGCATTTGCGCTATTGCAGGGTTTTGAACGTGACTCATATGTCAGAGGTACAAAAACCCAGGCAATGTCTAACCTCTGGTTTTAAAGCATGTTGTTGGACCAAGCATCTCAAGTTGTGCTATTGAAACAGCACATGGCCCAAGAGATGTGGCACAATATGCCTTTCAGTTCTGCAGAAGATGCATACTGCAAAGCCTGAGTTCTCCTGGAGCATTTGTTGGTCTTGAGGCACATTTGTCACATCATGCAGAGTAGCTGTTTAGGGTAAGGGTCTGCAACCTGTGGCTCTAGAACCAAATGTTGCTCAGGTTGGGAACCAAATATGACCCTTGTAAAAAGAAAGTTAGATCTTTAAGTTAAGGTATATTGGAGGGGGCCATAACCTGGATGGCCCAAGCTAGCCCAAACTCATTAGATCTCAGAAGCTAAGAAGAAACGGCCCTGGTTAGTATTTGGATGGGAGACCACCAAGGAATTCCAGGGTCGCTATGCAGAGACAGACCACCACTGAACATCTCATGCCTTGAAAACCCTAAAGGGTTGCCATAAATTCACTGCACCTTGATGGCACTTTCTACCACCAGCACCATGTTGGAGGGCTAGATGGGATGCTAGAACAAACAGTATGTGAAGAAAGTGACAGGGAAAGATATTTATAGGGCTAAATAGCTCCTTGGAGATCCTTTAATGAAAAGGAAATGATGGAGGTGAAACAGCTGCTAGTGTGAACCGTGAGCAGATAAATGAACTGAAACAGTCACCCAGAATGCTCCACTAATGAGACCTCGGGTGTGCCACTTCCTAATAAAAAGCTCACAACAACCAGTGTTTGGGCTACAGAAAATGTATAGATTATTAACATTTATTTACTTCATTTATCTCCCAGCTTTCTCCCCAGTGGGGACCCAAAGCATCTTCCATCACTCCCCTCTCCTCTAATTTATCCATGCTAATTATCACTAATGTGTATTTTCAGTTATGCAGATGGGCTTTCTTATACTGGCTTTGTTGAACTCTTGCTCAGAACTTTGGTGTGGTTTAGCTCTTTAATTATAAAAGAACATAAGAACATAAGAGAAGCCAATGTTGGATCAGGCCAATGGCCCATCCAGTTCAACACTGTCACACAGCGGCCAAAAATACCAGGTGCCATCAGGAGGTCCAGCAGTGGGGCCAGGACACTAGGAGCCCTCCCACTATTGACCCCCCCAAGAACCAAGAATACAGAGCATCGCTTGCCCCCGAGTCCCTATCTATACCTTCTGGCTAATAGCCACTGATGGACCTCTGCTCCATATGCTTATCTAATTCCCTCTTGAAGCCGTCCATGCTTGTAGCTGCCACCACCTCCTGTGGCAGTGAATTCCATGTGTTAATCATTCTTTGGGTGAAGAAGTACCTCTTTTTATCTGTTCTAACCCGACCGCTCAGCGATTTCATGGAGTGCCCACGAGTTCTTGTATTGTGAGAAAGGGAGAAAAGTACCTCTTTCTCTACGTGCTCTATCCCATGCATAATCTTATAAACCTCAATCATGTCTCCCCTCAGCCATCATTTCTCCAAGCTAAAGAGCCCCAAGCGCTTTAACCTTTCTTCATAGGGAAAGTGTTCCAACCCTTTTATCATTCGAGTTGCCCTTTTCTGCACTTTTTCCAAAGCTATAATATCCTTTTTAAGGTGTGGTGACCAGAACTGTACACAGTATTCCAGATGAGGTCACACCATTGATTTATATAGGGGCATTATGATATTGGCTGATCTGTTTTCAATTCCCTTCAATTCAATTTTCAATTGACCCCTGATTTAGAGCATCATAAATGTCTTGGTGTGTTCTCATGGATCGTCAGCAACTTAAAACGACAGAGTGACAAAGGGTGCAGCTAAATAAGGATGTAAGGATGTGGTGAAGTGTTTGTGCTGTAGTTGTAATGTGGGTTGGTTTTCTATAAGTCTTTAGATTACCACTGGCATGCTTATGATTTCAAAGCGACATTCAGAATTGGTAGTGTATATGAAGTGTTAGACAGTGGTGAATACAGTGCTGCCTATAAAGGGAAATGTTGAATGGCTGGCACTGTTGTGGTTTTTTGTCAGAGGCAGACATCAAGGATGGGGTGGGGATGTTTGGCTAGAATGCAGCCAGAGGGAAGCCAATGGGCAAGCAAATTTCCCCTCCCCTCTTACTTATTATTTTTCTCTTTAACTGACTTTCAAGTGAGTCAACAAGGGTGTGCAAAAAAAACCCCGGTATTTTTCAGATTCGGGTATATTGAACCTGGAAAACATCGGTATTTCCCGATATTCCCAAATCCCAATACCAGTATGATACCATTATAGTCAAGGGACTCCATAGGGTATAATGGAGAATTGATCTGGGGGTATCTGGGGCTCTGTGTGGGCTGCTTTTTGAGATAGAGGCACCAAATTAGCTTTTGGTGTCTCTCCTCAAACCCCCCCCACCACCAAGTTTCAAAAAGATTGGACCAGGGGGTCCAATTTTAAGGGCCCCAGAAGAAGGTTTCCCATCCTTCATTGTTTCCAGTGGAGAGGGAAAGGGCATTTAAAGGGAATGTGGTCCCTTTGAATGCCTTTTTCAAGTCACAGCTGAACTCCAGAGGTATTTAAAGGGCTCACGGTCCCTGAGCTCACTTGCAGGGAGGACGGGGTAAAAATGTTATAAATAAATAAATAAAATAAAATAAATGCTTTCACCCAGAAGGTGTTTAAATGGATTACAGTCCCTTTAACATCCTTTAATACCCTTTAACACCAGCTATCCGATGGCCCTGAAAACCCCAAATAAGGTATTTTGTGTGTGTGTGGGGGGGTTCTGGCTTGGATAAACCAGATACACACCTTTGGTCAACAGAGTCTCCTTGGACTATGGTAAGAGTTAAGAATTAAGACTGGCTAGCTAAGATAGGGTTACCGTATTTTGAAAAGCAAGAAAGAGGATATATTTCCCTACTGACTACTAAAAACAAGTGATCACTGTGACAAATCTCATTTTAAATAACCCTACTATTAAAGTGGTAATTGCTACTAACCAGGAATATTCCTAACTTTCCAACCCAAAAAGAGGACATTTTTATAAGTTTTTTAACGAGTCCAAAGGAGACCCCAAAAAGATGTCTAAAAAGAGGACATCTGGTAACCCTACCTAAGAGGATGCTAAATAACAAAAATGGTTGCTTTACTTGTATAAAGCTAGTGTGGTGTAGTGGTTAAGAGCAGAGAACTCTAATCTGGAGAACAGGGTTTGATTTCCCGCTCCTTCACATGAAGCCTGCTGGGTAACTTTGGGCCATTCACAGTTGTCTCGGAACTCTCTCAGCCCCACCTACCTCACAAGGTAACTGTTGTGGGGAGAGGAAGGGAAGATGATTGTAAGCCACTTTGAGACTCCTTAAGGAAGAGAAAAGTGGGGGTATAAAAACCAATTCTTCTCCTCCTTCTTCATGAAGAAAAATGCTATAAATTTATTTTGGAAAAGCAACTATATACTCAACTCTGCTGAATGACATTTTTCTCTTTTATATATCAGGTATAATTAACAGTGCATCCTTTATGCTTGATATCAATGATTTCCTCATCAAAACAAGTCTCAAGGAAAAAAGCAGAACGCTGGTTGGTCCTGTCTGCAGTTCTGTCACCGTGGAAGCTAAATGGTGTAAACACAGCGGTAATCCTGGTCCGGAGCTGTCAATTCCAAAAGTCCATGTTGATGTGAGGGGTGGACTGATGCAGGTCTGTAACTGAAATTGCATTCATTAATTCTGGTTGTCTGTCTGGGCAGCATAAAGTTCTGCAGGGTGAGAAAATTAACCTGATTTGAGGATTTTTTTAAAAAAATCTTTATGAATTTCATTTTCGAAATGGTAAAATGGCATAAACTTTGCATATCCCCTTATATCAGATTAGTAACAAACACCAGCAGCACACTCTGTCCTGTGCGTACATGATACTGCCTCAAGGCACCTTTAATAAATGAACATTGCTTCTTGTCCAGGTAAATTTGTAGAAACTATTAGTACAGAGAGAATTATTAAGTGGAACAATGCCTGCTAAGGGAAACTCAGCATAACTTCTGTATATATATATATATATTTGACAGAGTTAACCAGCATGTAAATAAGAATGATCTTATTATATACTTGGGCTTCCAAAAGACTCTTGAAAAGGTCCCTTACTAACGCATGAATAAACTTAACACTTGTTGTATAGGAGGACATGAACTCTTACAGATTAAAAATTGGTTAAACAACGGGAAACAGAGAGTAGAAATAAATGGACGGTTCTCTCGATGGACGGAAGTAGGCAGTGGGATCCCACAGAGATCAGTATTGCTGATCCTCATACTTTTAGCACTTGAAAGCCTTTCATTCTGTTTTGATTAGATATGGGTCTGCAATTTTAAATGAGATTCTCAGGAGAAAGCCAGGAATATAAATATTTTAAATAAATAAGTAAAAGTGAATTATAAGAAATGGGCCAAATACTGTAAAGCAGGGGTCACCAGCATGGTCCCTCTGGACACCTTGGTGCCTGTCAGCACCTTTGCTGATGCCCACCAAGTGTTTTTAGAAAGTAGGTGGGATTAGGTGGCTCTTTTGCCCAACAAGGCTTCTGATTGGCCATTGGTGATTTGATTGGCTGTGCAGATTTTTAAAAGAACATTGCTTTGGCAGCAGCTCCCACCACAGCACAACGATCTTCACTGTGTGACTGAAGGTAGGCTGCAGTAGCCGTTTTGTGGCTTCTCCCACCACACTGTCAGAATTTCAAAGGCGCCCAAGGGCTCAAAAAGGTTGGGGAATCTTGCTGTAAAGTCTAATCCTCTGCCACAAAGGCAGGTCAGTACTAGGGGAGTGCAAAAAAAACCCCAGTTATTTTGGGTATATTGAACCTGAAAAATATTGGTATTTCCTGATATTCCCAAATTCCAGTATTGGTATGGTACTGGGATTCAACAGAGTACTGGGGTTCCAAAATGTTTCCAGAATTCACTGCTTGGAGAAGGTGTTTAAACACCTTCTGGGTGAACTCAGCACTTGGGTGTTCACTCGCACAGTGCAGCTTGCAAAAGGCATTTAAATGCCTTTTGCACGTGGCACTGCACAAATGGAGTCCCAAGTAGAGTTTGCTTGCACTCCTTGGCTTGCAAAAGGCATTTAAAGCCAAGCCGTGGATCAGCTGGGGCGGCGTGGATCTGAGAGCTCCACCCAGGCTTGGCTGGAGGGTGGTTCTCAGTATAGCTGAACACACCCGAATAAAAGTTTTTAAAAGGTTGGCTTTTGGGGGGCTCAGCTATACTGGTACAGATCTCTGATCTGTATTCTGTTTAAGTGATACCCGAAAAATACTGATAAGGTATTTTTCAGATATTTTTTCTGTTCAGTTATGCCAAACGCACACCCCTAGTCAGTACTTCTATATATCAACTTGTGCAAGCCAGGCCACAGTGTATTATTTCCCCAGAGTGCATGAACTGTTAAAAGGTGCTTAATAAGCAAGTCACACCAGGTGACTCACGTAAATAAGCCAAACAAGGGAAGGCAGCAAAATTTCAAGTTTAAGAAAGGGCTATACAAACACCCAGGGTCACAGGCATGCTGAGAGCTTACAGCGAGCTTGTTCCCCAGTCTAATTTACCCTCATTTGAATGTTGTGACCTACACAAGTCAAGCTTCAGATAGACACAACCTGATATCATTATTTGTTGCCTGACTCAAATAATGAGCTGAGCAGCTTTGTGGCTGCTTTTCTCACAGACATTTTGCAGCTTTTGCATCTGCACAGTAGGGGGAAATTAAACTTCCTTGCCCGTGAGGATCAAGGTCAGGTAATCTAAGTGCAAATCATTCAGCTTTGCCTGTCTTTGCATGTGAGCAGTAGGGTGTCTAAAGAAGACACAGGAGTCAGTGATTATGGAAGAATTAGTACTGCTGCTAGTGTGGGTTTCCCTTTATTATTTTTACAGTTTTAGAAATGTTAAAAGCCATGTTTTTATGTGGGGATGGGAGAATAAACTACCACTTCCATGACACTGTGCAAGAACACACATGGCATTAACTGCTCTCAATGTAGACAGTTTAGCCCCAATTAATTTTCAAGTATTTAGTCTTGGAATCAGATAAACTTCCATCCAGTGAGGGCAACAAACTTTTTTTCAATAGATAACCATCCATCCAAAATTTTTAGCCCATACTGATAATCTCATGTCCTGAAATCCTCATTCCGAATTAGCTTTGTGATAATGTGCCACCATAAAGCCAGTTCAAAGTGATGACAGAAAGCCTTGCCGCTCTCTGATGCAATCTCCACTTGGACTGTTGTTGCCAATCAAATGGATTCATTGAGCCCTTTGTCCTTATTCACAGGATTTCTTTTTCCTATTAAATCCTTTATTTCATTCTTTATCAGAACCATTTGCTTGGGGGGGTATTGCATTTCTGTACACAGCATTTCCCTATCACACAAATTCAGGCTGTTCACGTAGTAAACATTCAGTTTTCACTGTTTCAACACAAGGTAAAATAGCAGATGCTCCATATCTTCTACTCAAATGATCCTTAGGTCATTAGATAACTGAAAGTGACTGGTACAGAAGATTTTCAGCACCAGAGTAGCCTTGAGTGAGCTACATTCCATGCCAATATTCTTGTAAGGGTCATGTTTGTAATGCTACTATAACAAGAACTGCTACAGCAATAACCAATGCTCCTCAATGAAAGGAACAATGCGAGTCTCCCTAAGGCAGCGGAAACAAAATACTGGACAAGTAGCAGGGCTTGCTCCTACTCTTCTGTTCCCAATGTGGAGGATGCCTGTCTTCCCTGCAGACCTACACCCATTTTGCTGATTGGCAATGCTGTAGGCCATGCCTTTCCCCCTTTCTGCAGTGCCTCTAATGAATTTTAGTGGATACTGCAACCCTTTCTTCATCTCCTTTAATTTAACTCTTGTTGTGTAGTGAAAGGACAAAAGTAAAGATATTTGTCTTTTCTGTTTCTTACTGTTCTGGCAACAAATTTTTCTTTTCTTGGGTTAATGGGGTTTACTATGACCATTTAGGTGTTTCAGGGCCAGGATCTATACTTCTTAGCCCTTCAAAATGCATATACCTGGTTATCTGAATTCATAGAAAAAAACTTGTTGGCAGTACATAATGTCTGAACCTAAAATGTTTGATTTTCAATTTTCTAAATTTGCTCTTCTTTTTATAAGGTTTTCTGGGGTCAAGAACATTTGAACTGCTTAGTTCTTATACATGAACTTCTGCATGGTTACCTTCTGCAAGAGGAGAGGATGGAGAGGCATAGTTCTGGTCATATATATACAGTACCACGTCCTGCAGACAGGAACCAGAGTTCTAAAACAGAGCATAACTCAGATGATCTAAGAACAGGCCTGTTTCAGTACATACAAGATGCAGGTAGAGGGAATATTACTAAAATGCACTTCTGTTACAAAATAAATTCAGTAGTAGCCTATTAAATATCACTTTCCTGTTTGACTTCCCCCCCCCCCAGTAGTTAAGAAAGCATCTGTTAGAAAAATACCATTTTGATTTCTTTCCATTTTACTGTGACCTTTTAAAACTCAGGGAAATTGCTTTTTTATTTTCCACCCTTTTGATCACAAGGGATTTGTTTTTAACCGCTTTGGTCTCGTAAACCAGCATGCTCCCTTTTAGAAATTATATAACCAATTACGGCTTTTTTCTCCCTAATTTGATAGAGGCACAGAAACTGCCCAATTCCTATGAAGTTGTGTTTTACAATGAAACAGAAGATAATCCAGGAATGATGTTATGGAGATACCCAGAGCCCAGAGTGCTCACCCTTGTAAGAATTACTCCAGTTCCTTTTAATACCACAGAAGATCCAGATATTAGCACTGCAGACCTTGGTGATGTTCTTCAGGTAGGTAGCAGTTTGGTAAATAAAAATATATCATTTTTTAAAAGCCATTAAAAACAGAAATTAATTAATGCTTTATAACGGATAAGGAAGGGCCCTATAATGAATAAAACTGTTGATTTTGGACTGCTTAAAAACTATTTTTAGCTTTTTATTTGTCTAAGCCTGTGCAGATATAATGCTACCCAAGTTTAAGGGATCAGAGCAGGGCCATGATATACATTTGGAATATAACTAATCATCATCTGCTCTAAATGTGTTGTGTTTGTTAACCTCGGAATGATACCTAATCCAAATTAAATTACCTCCAGTTTAAATTACTGCTATTGGTAAGGAGCAAACTTGGCCATGACCCAATGGTATTTATGGTGGTGTGTGGTGGTTGCGGCGGTTTCCATTTCCATTTCCCTGGAGCAGCAAGGGGCAACTGAGGGATTAGCATGTCTCAGCAGATATTTGCCTGAAAGGCACACCATCCAACCAAAACTTTTAGCCCATACTGATAATCTCATGTCCTGAAACCCTCATTCCGAATTGGCTTTGTGATGATGCACTACCATAAAGCCAGTACAAAGTGATGACAGAAAGCCTTGCAGCTCTCTGAATGGGTGTCAGGGATGAGATTGCAATTTGGATCATTGTTGCCAATAAAATGGATTCATTGAGCCTTTTGTCCTTATTCTCAGAACTTCTCAAAGAGACACTAAAGACTTCCTCTCTCAACTGTAACCAGCCCCATATTCTAATTTCCTAGTGTTACAGATTTGTAATCAAGTTTTATTCCACTTGGGAGTGGCATTTGTAGCTAATAAGTTGCGTCAACTTGATATAATTCACCTTACTGAGGTCCAGAAACTATTTGTGTGGTACATTATTCATGTTGCAACTTTAATAACTGCTGCATTTTTCAGAGACCTATTTTGGCAAATATAGTGACCAGAACTATGTATTTCTAGTTCATTGTATTCTGTGCTAAAGAGTTAATTTTGAAAAAATAAGATTTCAAGTACCAATAGTACAAGTGGCTCAAGAAAAATGTATTCAAAGTATGGATGTGTGTGTGTGTGTGAGAGAGAGAGAGAGAGAAAGAGACGCTTTCTGCACTAGTTCAGCCTCCTCTTGATGTTGGAAGAAGACAGGGTCCTGAATAATAGGAATTATATATAAGCTGTAGTGATCAGGCTGGTTAGAATCTGGTATAGTAAATGTGAACCCTTTTTGCTTTGAGTCAAGACTAGAATGCTTCTTTAACTTGCTGCATGATAACTCTGTGCAAAATTAATAGAAATGTCTATAACTTTTTCTTTTGATGGTTAATATGATGTAGAATAGTAATTGACTAACCTCAGGCCTCTTTAATCACTTTAAATCCCTTTAAATGTTCTTGCAGAGAAGTAAAAAAATGGAATTTTCCTGTGAATTGCCTAGAATTATAGGAAGTATCTAGGATAAGCAGTTCAGCCATGTATAGAATCATAGAATCATAAAGTTGGAAGGGCCATACGGACCATCTAGTCCAACCCCCTGCCCAATGCAGGACCAGCCTAAAGCATCTCTGACAAATATTCATCCAGCCTCTTCTTGAAAGCTGTCAGTGAAGGGGAGCTAACCAGCTCCCTGGGCAGCTGATTCCACCTTTGAACCACTCTGACCGTGAAAAGGTTTTCCCTAATATCCAGCCAATACCTTTCAGCATGTAATTTAAACCCGTTGATTCAGGTCCTATCCTCTGCTGCCAACTGGAACAGATCCTTGCAGGGCTCCTTGTAGGGCTCCTCCCTCAGGCAACTTGTACTGTGTTATAGTAAAGTTTCTGTACTTAAGGTTATTAGGTGTCAAACTGGCACTATCTAAAGAAGAAAGTTAATTTGTGACTCAGCAGTCAAGTCTTGTTATTTGTACATCAGGTATAAGAACATGTGTACTAACACTGAAAATAGGGTTGCCGACTCCATGTTGAGAAATTCCTGGAGATTCTTCAAAGCAGCGATCTCCTACAGGGGGAACTGTCCGTTGTAATTTCAGGAGATTCCCCACCCCACCCCCTGGAGGTTGGCAACCCTACAGTGAATTTAGGACCATTGTCTAGTAGGCTTAGCTTGGAAAGTGGATGGAAAGGTCTGTTTAAGTGACTCTTGACAACCGGTTACTGTCTAATTACTCCTGGCCAGTAGCAATTGCTTCAAGGCTTTTTTCTGGGGGAACGCACCGGAGTGGAGTTCTAGAACCTCTTTGACAAAATTCTTTTAAAAGTTCATGAGTTTTCAGTATACAGATTGAAAACTTCATTTCCCTCTTGAGAGTTCTGGCACTTCTCTTTTTTTAAAAAAAAGTATTCAAAAGCTTATTCATAAGAACATAAGAGACGCCAATGTTGGATCAGGCCAAACACTCTGTGTCACACAGTGGCCAGAAATACCAGGTGCCATCAGGAGGCTTAATTTAAAAAAATGAAACTACACACAAGGGGCAGGGAAAATAATTGTGTTTTGTTGGACATATTTGCAAGTATTAAGTAAATGGACTATGGCCTTGTTTCAGAAAACTGGATGGCAAGGTTTGTACCTAATAGGTACTATAACTTTATTCAGTCATCAAAAGATTCTTAGGAAGGTTGGAAAATAGACACAGAAGCTGCTTTTTCTGTGATAGTAGTCAGAGTATGGGAAATAATTTGTTTAGGACTTCCGGTTTATGGCGGCACGCTGGCGGACGCATCTCCCGGACCTCCCGGGGATGTGATTTGCGCACTAGCGGATGGGGGGGCGACGGGTCGCCCCCCCCGGAGCCTTGGCAAAAGGCTCCTAACCATGGGGCTTTTGAGGGGCGACCTCTTCACCAGCGCATTGCTGGTGAATCGAGGTGCTCCTCCGCCCAGATGGTCCTGCCGCTGAGTGTCCGTATGGAACTAGAGCCGCTGACCGGGACAAGCATTAGAGATCGAGTGGTTGAAATGTGTTCCGAGTGAGGTCGTATGACCAACAATGAACAGTGAGTCGGGTTAAAGTGAATACGAGAATTTAAAAAGAAAGCTCCCCCCGGTAACGGCGAGAAAAGTGAGTGGGGGAGGGGCCCCTCCCATACCCATGAACTAAAAAACGATATACCAAGGGGAAAGCAGAAGCAAAAGCGTTGAAATCTGTTGAGAAAAACTTACCAAGGCATGTATGAGCGTTTGAGAGCACATTCACAGACTTTAGAAACTGCGGAGAAAGTAAACAATCGATAAAAGGTGGTGGGGAAGAGGATGGAGAAGGAGAAACTTTTAAAAGCGAAAGGGGAGAGTCCAAAACCAGAAGGAACCACCGAGCTGGCTAAAATGTTGGCAGAATCTCTGCGCCCCTTGCTGGAACAGATGACTAACATCAAGGAACAGTAGTCTACAATGACCAAATGTATCACCACCCAGCAAGCACAAGTGAATGAGACCCTTAAAATTACAGAGCAAACAGCTGAGAAAGTGAAAGAAATTGACGCCACTACTCAAAAAGTGAAGAAAAGGGTACAAAAATTGGAAAAGAAGCAAGTCTCCACAGAAGAACAACTTTTACAGCTGCAAATGGAGAAGACAAACTTGGTTCTCTGATTCCAGGGTGTCCCAGAATCTAAAGGAGAGAATCTGAAGCAAATGCTGAGTGAAGCATTAGCCCCGGTGACAGATTTGACAGCGGAGCCATTTGAAATAAGACAAAAGAGGAAGAAATATAAAGATTTAATCCTTTTTCTCCAAACAAACAGCATTGCCTATAGATGGTTAATTCCAGAAGTCATCGTTTTCAAACTACACAATAAAAAAGAAAAGATTGACTCTGTCTCCGAAGCACGCGAGTTCCTGAGATTGCAACTGGGAGAGACAGCCGAGGTCGCTAAGGAAGAAGATGACAGCAAATGCAGTGGCGAATTGGACTCAGTGTCTTCTGACGAGGATTCTGCTTCCGAAAAGGGGGCAGCTGCCCCCAAACATGCATAACAATTGAGGATTAGAAAAGATAAAACAAAATGAAGGCTGAAGGACTCTGATTTGTGCCTTAAATTTTTTCTTTATTATTGATGATGCTCTTGGGGTTCTCTTTAAACAGTAAAATTAATGGATTAAAAAGATAAATAATTTACCATAACCGACTATGTTGTATGTGATATTAGCAATTTTAGACTAACATCAACACAAGCTGTTGTTATGATCTCCTATTCTTGGGGTTTTAGTTATTAGTGGTTTTCTTTCCTTTCTCCCTAGATGTAGTTACCCTTCCCTATTTTTTCGTTGTAGTTTGTAGTCTATTTAAAAATGCAATAAAAAATCCCCTCTGGAGGGCCAAAAAAAAAGAGGAAATAATTTGTTTTTAAAAACCCTCTGCTGTATCCTTATCTATCAGTTTCATATTGTTTTATTAGGTTTTGCTTTAGAGGACTGTATAGATTAATTTAATCCCATTTCAAATGTGAGAAAGGGAAGTTGAGAAGGTACAGTGACAGCTGAGGATGCTAGTTTCTCAGTGTTCAGACAGGGCACTTTGTCATGCCTGGACTCAACCAAAATACCAGCCACTTCTGAATGCGGCAAAAGAGGGGCCACTTTTTAAACTGAATTAATTAATTCCATCAGTATTGGCTTTACTATTAAATTACTAACTTCAGAAAAATGAAAACTAAGGTGAATGCTTTATGTAAATTGTAATATTTTATATACTTAACTTGGGAGTGAGTTCCACTGAACTGGATGGGATTTAGTTCTGTGTAGGCATTTTCTACAACCAGGCTTGCACAAGATTGGGGTTCAAGTTGATCCTTTCCACCCAGGTCACTTGATGTTTTAGATTTGGTGTGGCATTAACATTTTTTTAAACTGTAGAGATAGTTGTTGAAGGAAATCTTTTTTTAAAATATAAGAATATTTATTTGGTTTGCAGAAATACAATATATGAATATCATAAACACAAATCTAGTCAAATTACACAATACAATTACACAGCACAGTGTCAAATGTATAAATGTATAAAAATAAT